TTTTTTTTTTTTTTTTTTTTTTTTGGTTTCTTGTGGTTTGGTGGGGTTGTTCATTTCTGTTGTTTAGATGGGATGGATGTTGGAGTTTTATTTTCTCCTTAATTTTTATTGAAGAAAATGTTGGTTAGTTCATGTGCAACAGGATTTTGGTATTATCGAGAGAAGTAATAGTAGATGATTGTTGTTGTAAACTAAATTATAATTTGGGATGCAGGAGACTTCAGAACCAGAAGTGGGAAGCAGAAATCAAGCTCCATAGTTTTGGTACCATCAAGATCAAGAACAGTTTGGAACGTTGTTCAGAATTTGCTTCAGATAAGTTATGACTTTTGTGGATGAAACAAGCAATTCTTGATCTGGGTTTTTGGTGGGAGGAGGAAGAAGAGAATGTTATCGGTTATTTATTAGAACTAACCAAGTAGAATCCTTTTTATTATAAATTCAATGGAGTCACCAACAGGTCAGCCTCAGCTGCCAAGTGTTCCCGCACACACGAAGAAGATGACCAAACAGTTAACAGGAAAACGGGGAGACACGCCTTTGCATTCTGCAGCAAGAGCAGGGAATCTTGCTGTGGTGAGAGAAATCCTTACTGGCACTGAGGAGAAGGAACTGAAGGAACTGTTAGCTAAACAGAACCAGTCTGGGGAGACAGCCCTTTATGTTGCAGCTGAATATGGTTATGTTGATTTGGTTAGGGAGATGATAAACTACTATGATCTTGCTGATGCTGAGATAAAAGCCAGAAATGGCTTTGATGCATTTCACATTGCTGCTAAACAAGGGGATTTAGGTATGTTGTTTTATACATGATAAATTCCTCTCTTTTCTTATTCTTATTACGATTTAAAGGTGAATGAGATTTTAGTTTGGCCTTGTTGCAGAGGTATTGCAAGTGCTACTGGAGGTCCAGCCGGAATTGGCTATGACTGTTGATCTATCAAACACTACAGCTTTGCATACTGCTGCAACACAAGGGCACATGGAGGTCGTCAAGTTTCTTCTTGAGGCTGGCAGCAACCTGGCTACAATAGCTAGGAGTAATGGGAAAACAGCTCTGCATTCTGCAGCAAGAAATGGGCATGTGGAGGTTGTGAGGGCAATCTTAACTAGGGAACCTGGAATTGCACGTAGAACTGATAAGAAGGGGCAGACAGCAGTTCACATGGCAGCAAAGGGGCAGAATCTTGAGGTAGTGAAGGAGTTGATTAGGTTCGATCCTTCATCAATAAACATGGTTGACAACAAGGGAAACACAGCCTTGCATATAGCAACTCGGAAGGGCAGAGCTCAGGTAAATAATCCTTTTTATCTTCTCTTCATGCTTCAATATACATATTTATGCTTGTTTTGCAAATTGTTGTGTTTCTTTCTTCGGCTGAAGCATGTAGGACTTGTAATTCATATGGTATTAAAACAATTCTTTGTGCTGCTGATTGAGAAGGGCTTTGCTGTGTCTATATGAGGTTAGAATGCCCATACTTGAATATTTTCAACTGCTGAGATGAGCATCTATTCTCTTATAGAACTCAGTCATGTATATTTTTAATAATAACAACATTAGTTATTGGGGCAAATGCTTTTGATTATTGGTTTCACAATGCTGGTTGACTTCTAAACAAAATCTTGAAGTATCTGCCTACTTGCCAAATTTTGATTATGCTCACGATAGCGGTTTATTTATATGGCACTGTATTTGCTTGATCTGCAATGAATGTATTTTGAGGATTCTGTTTCAGTGGAAGCTAAATAAATCGGAGAAGCTAACGTTGTGAATTTCTGGTTTTGCAGATTGTTAACTTGCTACTGGCAAACAATGAAACCGACACACTAGTTGTTAACAGGACTGGAGAAACTGCTCTTGACACTGCAGAGAAAATGGGACATCCTGAAATTGGGACCATCTTGCAGCAGCATGGGGTTCAAAGTGCTAAAACCATCAAGCCTCAAACACCAAATCCAGCTCGTGAGTTAAAACAAACTGTGAGTGACATAAAGCATGAAGTGCACTATCAGCTAGAACATACCCGACAAACTAGAAAGCAAGTGAAAGGCATTGCCCATAGACTCCACAAAATGCATGCTGAAGGTCTTAACAATGCTATCAACTCAACTACTGTTGTTGCTGTTCTAATTGCCACAGTTGCATTTGCTGCCATTTTCACAGTCCCTGGACAATATGTTGATGACCCTGATAAAATTCCTCCTGGGTTCTCTCGTGGGGAAGCAAATATAGCTCCTAAACTTCCATTTATAATCTTCTTTATCTTTGATTCCATATCACTCTTCATCTCTCTGGCTGTTGTGGTGGTTCAAACCTCAGTTGTAGTCATTGAGAGCAAGGCAAAGAAGCAGATGATGGCAATCATCAACAAACTGATGTGGTTGGCTTGTGCACTCATTTCTGTGGCATTTTTGGCTCTGTCATTTGTTGTGGTTGGCGAGAAGGAAATGTGGCTTGCAATTGGAGTAACAATCATTGGAACAAGTATAATGGTTCCCACAGTGGGCACCATGTGTTATTGGGTGATCAAGCACCGGATTGAAGCCTCAAATATGAGAAGCATAAGAAGATCCTCTCAGAACAGCAGATCGCTCTCCTGGTCACGGTCAGTGATATCAGATTCTGAGATCCTAAACAATGAGTACAAGATGTATGCAATTTAAGATTTCTCCATGACAAATCCTCATCTGTTTAGCACATGGCACAATAGAAGTCTGTAACCCTGGAGAAGCAAACTTCAAAAATGTATATTTCAAGTTGACCTTAGTTTACTCTTAGAAAGATTTTGTTTACCAAAAAAGTGCCTAGTTCATGCAGATGATGCTTTCGCCATTTATTTACTTATCTAGTTAATGACACTCTGAAAGTCAAAGTCTTCTTCCCAAGAGTGAAGAAAACAAACTACCCTGAAATTTTATAAGCATTCCTTAGTAAAATGTAAAGGAACCTGTAACATGGGAAGCAGTCAAATATAGCCATACTAGGCCAGAGAAGCTTTTATAGAACATTGATGAACAATAGAATTGGACTGTATGTAAATGAATAAAAAGAACATTTGGCTGCCCACCTGCCATTGGGAAATCAGAAAAAAAATATGTGGAGAAAGCTTGATGATGTTTCAGAAATGGGAAACAAAAACATTGACTGGTGAGTCTTCTGATGGCCCATTGGAATGAAAGGTTCAGAGCATGAGGATAATCCTGCCAAAAAAATAAGCCAAAATGATAAAGCAGATGATGCCATGAAGTTGGAATTGGGAAATGCCTGTGAATGGGAACACACAAGGTAGACATAAGTGGACCTCTTTGTAGTTGCTTCCAACCATTTAGATCCTTTGTTAGTTGTTTATGACCACATGGTCCAAGATGATTATTTCCAATATAACAGTCTTTTTTTTTTTTTTAAATAATAATATAATGTTTTAACTTGCAAAGTAAGAGTATAAATATTAAAATAAAAACACATAGTTTAAGATTAATGAAGCATTGATCCAATGGTTAAAGACATGTTCAGATTATGAGAAGTCTCAAATGTGAACCCAATTCCTAAACAACATATGGAAACATAAATTTTAGGTATATAAGACAATTATTTTTTAATAAGCAAAAATTATTTATCCTTTAGAAAAACCAGAAAATTTCTATCTTGTGATAATAACTTTTGAAGTGTTCAAAAACAAATTTTTTTTTTTTTTGAGGAATGTTTTAAAAATTTTTTTTTTTTATCAAAAAGAATTGTTTTAAACTTTAAACTAAGGTAAATTATTTTGTACCGAACCAAAGGTAGTTGTAAATGTTTTCAATAAATAAAATTTAAAATTAAATGTACAAAAAAAATTTTAACTTTCAGGCTTGTCTCTGGGGGATTACATTCCGTGAATCTGTTTCACAAGATGGAAATGGATGGGCCTCATGAAGAAAACAATCCCGATTCGTTGGACCGGACCCGGGAAGAGCTTTTTGGCACAGATTGAGCCTGGAACACCCAGGTCCACTGGTCCAGTACGCTTGATGGAGCAAACGAAACCCTCACCGTTTCAGTTACGTGTTAAACTGAAACTGAAAATAAAAGAGAGATAAATTAAAAAAAAAAAAAATCATCCGAAATTCGAGTAAATAAATAAAAATCAAATAAAAGCAATCACTTCCCTGGTCCTTTGCTTCGTGTTTATCGCCGGTAACCGAATCGGAAAACATGGACGATGAGTTGCTGGAGTTGCAGAGGCAATTCGAGTTAGCGCAGCAGGCGAAATCGAGCATCCGGTTATCGGAGCGAAACGTCGTCGAGTTAGTTCAGAAGCTCCAGGAGATTCACATCATTGACTTCGAGCTTCTCCTCATAGTCTTCGGCGAAGAATACATTACTCCGGTATGCCTCGTTCTCTTCTTATTTTCTGTTTTTTTCCTGTGAGAAAACGAAATGAGAATGAATGAAGATACGTGCAACTAGCATAGTTTGATTGTTGTATAAATTTCAACCTCTGTTTGTTTCCTGAGAAATTGAAACATAAACGAAAAGAAAAGAAGATAAATAGTTAGTACTTTTATTTATTTATTTTTGGCTGTTTTTTCATTCTAGCATCAAATATTGAATATACACATGTACTGCATAATCTACATAAGATTTTTCATTTATTTATATCTACCAAAAAATGGTTTGAAATTTTGGTTATCTACAAATGATTCACTGTTTTCTCTTATATTTGTTTTTGCTTTTATGATTGACGTTTGGAATTTTTTGAATGAATGTTACCATAGGAGCAACCGAGGCATAAAATTGTGGAGGGAGTCAAGAAATTAGGCCGTGTTTCTTTGATCGATCTAGCAGACACTATAGTGGTAGGTTTATAGAATGTTGAGAAGCAAGCTCAACGTGTAGTGTCTGATGATCTGGGGCTTATGTTAATTCAATGAGAAATCTCACAATCTTATTGGGATTCTGTAGATTTATACTTTTTTCCAGCACTTAGCAGCCTATTTTGATGTGTTCTTCTTCATACTAGTTCTAGTAAATTTTCTCTTTTCAGTTTTTGCCTTTTCTAACATTAAGCATGTTTGGGATACAGGATTTTGCTATTGCACAGAAGGAATGTTTAGGTTCTTTCTTTTCACAGGTTTGGAATTTAGTCTACTGATGTAGTGATGTTCTGATGTTTGGTGTCTATAAAGAAGGTGCACCTCTGAAACCATTATATATATTGTACCAAAAAATTTGTGCAATCATAAATCTGTTACATGCCTAGTGTATAATAAAATTAAGAATGTTCAAAATATCTGACAAAGCTTACTGTCATCGTTTCACTGGCAGGACTTGTAAATCTTTGTTGTCATAAACACCTCATTTTACATAAGATTAATGCTTTTAGCGTACAGTTGTTTCCTAGTGAGCATATAAACTTCATGTTAAATGTAGAGGATGGAGAATGCATTATTATAAAGACTCAGTCATTCTGGTTGAATTTAAAAGGAATATGATAGGCCAGAAGGAATAGATTTGTTGAGTGGTCTGAAAGACCTTACTGCCTTTGAGTTGATGATTGAATTACTGCCTAATAGAGCTTCATGTTAAAAGCTTAAAATAACATTCATACACCTGACTAATGGCATCACTGGCATCCGGGAGAAATGAAGGATTTTCTCTAATAGTGAACTATTGGAAGTGTAGAGTCTTGATAAGCAGTGGAATTTTAGCCAAATAAGGAGTTCCTATTGGAAATAATTTTGATGCTGGGAGCTTTTAGAGATTTTATCACTAAATTCTTATTCACTAATTAGTGTTTTAGGAATTTATGAAAGTTATATCTTCACTCATGGATCTCCACACTGAAATTAAAGTTTAATTATTTGTCACATACTGCATTGATTAATTCATTTTTCTATGAAGATAGAGGTTTTAAGGTCCTTCTGGTATTTCTGTTCTCCTCATGGTTCCTCTTCTGTTCACAGAATTCTTTTATCAGCTATGAGGCTGTGCACAAACTTGGAATTTCCCAGCCAGTTCAGTTTTTACAGGAAATAAATTCTGCAGAATTTTCAAGATCATTGACTTTTGAAAGTGATTATGCTGACCTCGATAGTTTTCCTGTGGTTTTTTTTTTTTTTTGGATTAATTTTTCTTTTCTTATGCTCCAATTTAGTCCAGCTATCCTGAAGCATACCTTCAGTTACTGCATTTGTTCATCCCTCAATGACAGATGTTGGATTCAGCTATCGAGGATACCACTGAACGTTGCAGCTGGTAGGACTGGAAATAAATTTGCTTTCCCTTCTATTGTTACTGGTGTTAATAACTTGGAGTTATATTCAGGCAGCATTAAGCATGGTTGAGAATATATATCATGTTCTCTTATGTTGAACTTAATGCACCCTTTTCAGGGGAATCAGGAGGATGACTGTTCAGCTCATAGAATTCTGTCTAAAAGGGAACTTCTGGAAAGCAAACTGCCGGCACTGAAGGCTCTGGTCTTGGGCACCTGACAGTCCTAGAGTTGGGTTGGAATCCAATCTTTGGATTCAGCAGTTTTTTCTCTACTCTTAAGGCTCCAACTTTCTTGAATTCTTCCATTTTAAGATCAATGCTGTTAAGAAACTCTTGATCACAACTTATGGGAGGAACAGAGATTGTACTGACATGAGCTTTGCTCCATATAAAATGTTGAGAATGCATATCACATACCACTTACTAGTAGAGATGGCAATTTGCTCCGATCCCCGCGAGGCCCCGTGGGGATTCCCATCATGCGGACGGGGTGGGAACAAGAGGCATTTTCTCCTCGTGAAATTTCACGAAGAATTTTTCCAACCCTGCAAGGTCCCACGGAGATCTCCATCTCGCAAAAAATTTTTAAAAAAATAAATTAATTTCATTTTAAATTTAATATAATTTTAAAACCCAACCCAATTCAATAAAATGTAACCCACCCCAAAGCCTAACTCAAAGCCCAACCCAATCTTTTTAACCCTAAGCACCCTTTTAACCCTAGGCAACCTTATTTGTTTCTCCATTTATGCAGTAACTGCCTCTGCCTCTCACCCTTCGACTCTCTCATGCTGTCACACACACTCACTTAAGTCATCTTCCACCTTCCCTTTTGGCCCTCCCTACAAATCTCAAACCCTAAATCCCTCAATCCCTTCATTGCCACCCTTCTACCCTTCTCTATTTCACATCTCACCCTTCTGCCCAGAACTGGAGTCTGGACTGCTCCTGCTGCGCCACTGCTCTGCCACGGCTGCACAGTGCCCCGCCACTGCCCCGCCACAGCTGCACCACTGCCTCGCCACGGTTGCACCACAGCTGCTACTACGCCGCTGCTGCTGCTGCTTAAAGTCGAAGTTGAAGTTGATCTGCTGTGACTTTGATTATGTTTGATATAAAAAATGTATATTTAGGTATTAATTAGTGAGGAATGGGGATGGGGGACAAAATTTGCCCCCCCGTCAAAAATCCCCACGGGATGGGGATGGGGAGGGCCTCCCCGGCCCCGCGGAGCCCCGTTGACATCCCTACTTACTAGTACGGTAACTAAATAAAACAAGGTTAAACTTTTTAACATGACTGAAATTCTAAATAAGAGGTTAATGTTCCTACTAATGATTCGAATTAAATTCATCTTTGATTAAACATTATCTTATACTTGATCTATAACCATAAATAATGAGAGGCTAAAATTGTTAGATTAAAAATGCAACAAGATTGACACAATTGCTAAAATCAAATACCGGTAATGCTGAAGCTGACTGGACGTTCTAACGAAGTACATTGCCCAAAATTTACATTGAAAATCAGTAAAAAGAAAAAGCATGTCAATGTTGTGGAAGTGCTGGTCTCTTTTCCAACGATTCGTACTGAAGAACAACATTGTCCTGCAGTTGGAATATAGTCAGCAGGTTAAAACTGAATAAAATCGCTCCAACTTGTAAATAGAAAGTAAATATGCAAAATTAGAGCAGGGACAGATCAGTGCATGCCTTGCGTATCGTTTCAAAAGTGATTGGATCAAAACAGAGATAAGAACCTCTTTCGTAGGTATTTGTCTTCACTAGTGGCTCCACGTTAGGGGCTTTTAAGAACCATAATCGGTGTTCCTTGTGATATAACCAGCCTCTATTGTAACTGCTAACAGAAGGTGTTAAAAAGGGAAACAAGACGGTGCAGATATATCTCAAAATATGCACTGAAACACAATTCATTAGGTTGAGAAAACTTACAGTTCATTTGCAGCATATAATTGGGCCTCGTCTTTTGGCATACTACATTTAAAACAAAGAAAGAAATGTAGATGGCTAAGGGTAAGAACTACAATAAGACGGAAGGGACAGAAGTTTAAAGATATGCACCTGTAGAAAATATAGAACAAAGTATCCACTAAGAACTTTGAAAAGTATCCTTGCTGCACCACCCAAAAAATATCATCAGAGCCATAGAAAAAATGAAATATATGATGAAAGTAGATTTTACCATGGAGGGAAGGGTGGGGGAGAAAGGAGCAGCTTACATGCAAAGGGGGCGGTTGTTTCGCATAATAACATTGTGGCACAGTAAACTCCGGATCACCCTTAGCAGGTTCTTCAGACCATGGAGAACCAAAAGTCTTGTGAAGATTTTCCGTTGAATTCAAATTTAAACCAAGGGTTGTCAGATCAATTCCAAGGGCAAGGGAAGTAAGATCAGCATCACTCATCCTTATTACACTCAACAAACCAAGTAAACCATATGGATCTGGAGATTGTGTAGCCGGCATTGATTTCATGCTTGGATCCCGAAATGACTGATTGACAGCAGACATCTGCTGCAGACGGAACTGAGACTGGTTCTGGTGTTGTTGATACTGCTGCATAAGCTGATCATATCCAATGCCAGAAACTGTATTTGGAGAATTTAGAGGTCTTAGTGCAATGCCAGGGGGCCCACTGGTCTGAACCAAATATTAGAATAGGATAAGTTAGAAAGGCATATATAATTATACCTTCTATGTATAAGAAAAAAAACCACAAAATGTAAGCAAGGAAATAGTCAATCTTCATCACAAGTCAAACCAGTCCCTCAATGAATCAAAAACATCTCAAATCAGTCCATCGCTACCCTCAGTAATCACACTTCTTGTATAATGCTTCAAGAAGGCAATGATTTTGTTCTCCTAGCTAGCATTGAAGAAAAATGGATGGAAAATTATTTTAGTGAACAAGAACATATTTCCTTCTACCCTTTTACAACCCTTAGTTACATTTGCAAGAAACCATTTATGGTACCAGACTACCACACCTGAGAGTGGTAGCTCGAATGTGAAGATGGGAAAATATCTGAGCCATGTAAATGGAGAAGATCTTGGTTGTTTACAGGTGAAAAGGAGACACCACCACTGCTAACTGATGGAGCATGTTGCTGTTGCTGCTGTGGCCGATGCGATGAATAGGATCCTGCTAAGCTGAATCCAGCAGATCTACCCATCTGCACATGTTGCAAGTCTTAGAGGAAATTCAGCACATAGCAGAACTTACCCAAAGAAGGAAAGAAATCCAGTATCAGTAATTTTGTACAAATAGGGACTCACAGAGAAGTGCTGAGATTGCATCATTGACATTGTATTGTCATGCAGTTGTTCTTTCTGGTGCAAATCCATTCCATAATCAGCATTACCACCTGAAGCAAAAATACCATAATGCACCAAATCAAACAGCAATAAATGACAGCTAATTGTGCCATAATTGCAGAAAAGATAAGTGCTATTAGTGCTCTAAAAGGAAAGAAGTCTGTCACTCATTCTACCAAATAAAAAGTAAATGAATATATCAGAAACAATGTTAAAAGAGAATTTATGCACCTTTGAATCCTGGCAAAGCAGGGAAGTCTTCATTTTGAATGCTGAACTCTTGGTTTTGTTGAACAATCGGACTAACTCCAAGACCTTGTTTTCGTAATGAGCCTGAAATTTTTCTACTAAAACTGTAACTCCATCAAAAGGAGAAATAAAGAATTGAAGAATCAGAAAGAGGAAACTAGCAGAAACATTATTAATTTACCCAATTGCCCTTGAGGTCCCCCAGCAGAACTAGGACGACTTGTCAATTGAGGGAAATCATTGTTTATGTCAAAAGGAGAATTATCATTGGAGTTCACATCATTTAACATTCCCATAGAGCTTAGGTTGTTCACTGCTTGAACATGGCTTTGGGAAAGAGGGCCCCCGCCAGTAGGATACGAATTGCCCAACATAGAAATGACCTGCGGTGATCCTGAATCAAGAAACACCATTCAGAAGAATTTAATCCCTTCACAACCCACCAAAAATATAAGGTCAAAGGTCGTAGGAGTAGCAATATACCTTGTGGAAGCACGCCACTCATCAACCTATTCTGTCCTTGTACACTTAAACTTCCAGATCCACTATTTGCAGTCAGATTTAAACGTGATGCAAGACCAGGAACAGATAGTCCTCCAGCAGAGCTTATGCTGCGGCCAATGTTGCCACCAACCATGTTTCCCATAGAACTTGTTATCCTAGTACCTGCATTTCCCAAAATTGGGGAAACTCCCAATCCTGGAACAGCATTCCGGTTACCAATTGCAGAGTTTGAGAGAATCCCAGGAATAGAACCACCAACTCCATTTGTGTTACTACTAAATCCAGGATTTCCTACAACACTAATACCTCCTCTATTTGTTACTCCTGAATGGGAAATGCCATGCGATAGCTGCAAGATGGATCCATAAAACCCAAAAAGAGAAGAAAATAAAATAAGACTATTGTACAAGATGACAGGTCAATCCCTATCTATATTCTACATTTTGTATGTTTGTCTGCATGTACATACACCGACTGCTTGAAATATGAATACATCCTTGTGCAAATGGGTAGGGAGGGAGGGAGCAGGTAGAGGAAATTTCTTCTGCAGCAATTACAAGATGTAGCAGTTGCTATATGGTGGCCATATTAGAAGTACCTGAGAAAGAGCAACAGGGAGATTATTTGATGCAAATCTTCCAGTGGAAAGGCTTCCTGTAGGTTGTTGAACCCCACCCGAAGGAACATTATTCATTGTTGAGTTTCTTGATGACAGTGTACCCGGTATGTTGGCAACATTAAAACTACCATGAATATTATGCAGTCCCTGAATAGTACCTAAGGGAACAGGCCATAGACTGAATAAGTTCAGCAGAATTCAGATAAGTGAAATTCCAGAAAAATCTACCCACCGGTATGATGGTAAACAGGGGAGGCCACACCAGACTGACCAGAGAATGATGTAGCAAAAGACCGCCCACTACTATCTTGAAGATTTGATGCTGATCCGTTGATAGAAGACTGCAATTTGGAGCACTTTAGAAATACAATAAACAGATAAAAATTCACAATCAAAATGTAGCAGACCACTGGAACAAAATATTCAGCAGAAAAGAACTGCAAATATTCACCACGTAACACATAAATCATTGTTTTCTTTTCTGGACCAGTTAGTGTTTTTATAGTTCCTCCTTGAATATCAAAACGATGCAATTAGATCGTGGAGCTCAAGACAAAGAACCACAGACAATAATTTCATGCACTTTCAGAAATGTGCAATTCAACTGAAATCTACACAGATCCAAGCACCAAATAGACAAATACCAATAAAACCCAAGTTAACATCATACATTTACACATAGATACATAAAGGAGCACTTAATTGAATATGGAAGAATATTTTAGATTAAAAACATGCAAATGCAAATGAGTACCACATTCCAGTTCAGAAGTTAAATTGATGACCAAGAAAGTTGCAACATTGAGTGAATTCTAGTTAATTGGCAATACATTAAGTAACCCCGACATTGCACAAGTGTCAGTAGAAGATGCAAAATTTCATCCCTCGTTCAGAGGCAGCTCTTCTGTGTCTTGAGTATCAATAGAAAGAATGCTGATTTGAGAAGCTCTTACAGTGAATATCAACTTATAGCCTGAAAAGCACAACATGGTGGTAAGAAACTACCCTAAGACGAGTACATACTGTTTTCAAATATATGATTGTAAATTTAAACATGGTTTTTAACAATTTCCACTTGAAACAAGTAAAATGTATTCAGGCAACCTTGCCAAGCAACTTCCCAAAATATTCAGAGTAAAACCTGTGGTTTTAAAAATTTTGCAAATAACCAGCACAAACCAGCAGTCTAAAACATAGCAACTTTAGGTCAGTATTGAAATTGGACTTACAGAAACAACAGGTGCAGAGTAATTTGTACGTCAACAAGTAAAGCAAAAAATGGTTTTCTTAGAAACTTATACTCAAGAAGTCAGTAATTGAGATTTTTTTTTTTTTCTTTTTGTTTTTTAAGAGGAAATACCAAAATTTCAGCAAAATATAGCTACCAAACACAATGCCACTGAAATCTGGAACCGTCAGATACACCAAACAACTTATATGGTATCTTACTGAATAAGACCCAAAAAAAAAAAAAAAAAAAAAAGGAGAGGAAGCAGCAGCTAAACCTGCAAAACCTGAACGCTAAACTTTCAAATTCTAGAACTAAACCTCGAGAAATTGCAAAACGGAAGCCAAAAAAAAAAAACCTACAAAGCCATCGCGACTATTCTAAGTGAGCTAACAAAAACTACAGTTCCTACATTAGCCCTCCTTGTCCTACCACCTCCAAACAAGCATAAAGCAATTATATGGGCAGTACATCCTACTCCCTAAAATTCCAAAACAATCAGGAAATCAGCAACAAAAAAACCTAAATTCAAGATCAGGATTGATAAGAACCAAATAGGAAACATGTTAAGCTTCGAATGAAAGCAGAGATAGTCGAAGAAAGGCAGTTAACTGAGTGAAATGGAGATCGAACTCCGGGGACGTGGAGATCGATGCGAGATAGTGAGAATACCTGAGAGGCAGATCGGCAGAGGAGGAAGAGATCTTACGTTTGGCAGAATGGACTGTGCAGAAATGGAGATTTTCAGTTTTTTTTTTTTTTTGATTATTATTTTTTTTTTTTTTTTTTTCAATTTTGCTGTGAGTGTGTCTGCCCTAAATCGATTTCCAGCGGAAGACGTCGCAGTCGTGGAGAGGAGGAAACATAGCTTGCTTTTTGCTTGTGAATTGTGGTGATAAGCATTAAGAGAGGGATTTGTTTTGGTGCGGCTAAGGCGTAGATCTTATCATGGTCCGTCGCTATTTCGACCTATCAGATCCATGCGAAGATTCTGTACAATCATGGTTGGTTGGAGTGGTGGGCCATGCCTTGGGACACCAAGGCAAACTTTTCGTGATTGGTTTTCATTTTTCAATTGAATCTGTGTATAAAGGTTTTAGCAAGCAACCCGTTGCTTCTAGCATATTTAAATTAGTTTTTTTTTTAAAAAAATAATTAATATTTAATAATTGATAATTACTAATATTTATAATTAAAAATATATAATTTGTTAGATTAAAATTAATAATTAATAATTATTTTTAATAAATCAAAGTAAACATTCTTTTTAATTTTAGTAGTTATTTTAATTTAAGGGATTAAGAGAAATTATGACATTTAATATACTATGAATGATAATAAAAAAATTAAAATGCATTTGATGAATTAATATTTAAAAAAGATTTAATGAGAATATTAGAAAATTTTTCTATCATTTAAAGTATTAAGATGTTTTTATTTCTATTTTTTTCTTAATTTGATCTTTTTATTTTTTAATTATTGATTTTAGATAAAAATATACTTTCGCCATTTATTTTTATTTTTAATAGTTATAGTTTAACTTTTTGATCTTTTGAATATAAACTTTAGATAAAAATTTAACATATTATATAAATTAAATGATAATTAAAAATTTCTATTATCAAATAAAAACACTGAACAAAAATCATACATAGGGAAAAAAATTTAATTGTCTTTCAAATTAATTGTTAAATTTTTATTTAAAACTCATGTATGAAAAAATCAAAAAGTCAAAAAATAAAACTAGAATTACTAAAAATGAATAAAAGGAAGAACAAAATATATAAATGATAGTTAAAACTTTTTCATCCTATATGTAATTTTGTACTCACAACTCTCTATTAATAAATATATATTACAGGAGTAGGGATCCATTTACAATTTTACACATAACTCTTATATACTATATTTACATAAAATTTTAATTATTTATCTCTTTAATTTCATTGATTGAGATTTATACTCATAATTGCTATTAATAAATATATAGTGATTTATTTATAATACCTAATACTAGTAGTTAGGTTAGTGGAAAACACTATTTATTTTCTTTTTATAATTAATACACAATATTTTATTGAAAAAGGAGTAAAAGAAGACAAGAAAATGAGATGACAAGGAAAATTATAAAGTTAGATTTTGGGTAAAAATATGAAAATAGATTTTTTTTTAAAAAAAATTGTCATGAAGTACGGTAGGAAGCTAGTAAACCAGCCTTCATTCCACCTCCTCAATATCTGATCCATCATCTACCCAAGGTCCACTGTCCACTATCAACCTCATAATAGGCCATAGCAACAGCACAGCAATAGAAGGAGCAGGCCCATCCATTTCTTCAATTCCCCTGGTTCACGTTGAGCAGACCTGAAGACCGGCCTTAAATTTGCATGGGACTTAGAGCTTCCAGAACCAGGCCCAACAAAATAAGTATCTTTAAGACCATAGGAAATCATGTCCGATCCAAACCAAATTGCCTGGGTGTGGCTCATTAGTGAAAAGAAGAACGAGAATTCACTGACGTTCAACATAAAAATCCGTTTTTGTTCCTCAAAAGGATTGGGTCTGCTGTGAGAGAAATCTAATAAAATCCACTTTGTCTCCGTTGCTTGTAAAGAGATGGATCAAGCATTCACGGGAAGAGGGGAAAATAAGGTGAGCAAAAAAGAGAAGCAAGTTTCAACAAGCTTCTGAAGAATTATGGGGAAGGTCAAGGTCGGTCTACAGGCCAAAGGTGGGTGTGTTTTGAGAAGGAAAGGCAGCAAGTAAAGTTTTTTTTCCTTTTTATTCAACTGGCTGTGAAAAAAAAAAATACAATTCAAAAAAGTGTTGTTGTGTAGTCGAAGTTATTGAATTGCACTGCATTACAATACATTAATTATGAAATTAAGAGAAACTCCTAATATTTGTGGAAGACCTTCCACCAATGGACTGCAAAACATAGGAGTCATTACAACTTACATGGACACTTTTCTGCATGAGAAAGAAAAATATCCTGGCAAATAAAGAGCCTTCTTGATGAATCACTGTTGGCCTTCCTGATGAGACAGTTGTTCACTTATCTTGGATGTAATTTCATCCTGGATACTGACCCTCACCTCTTCCATACCACTCTGGCCAATGTCACTCACCATCTCATGTAGGCTGGATGTTACCGTGGCTCCTTCCGGCCTGGCTCCACCAGCATGGGCTGCTACGGCTGGTCTTCTTCTCTTATGGTAAAACTTGGCAAGAACCCAGCCAACAGCCAATACAACTACAACAGATGGAATTGAAGATCCAAGTATCACTGGCGTCTTCTTATTCTTTCTCTTCTGCTTGTTTTTACTGGATCTTGTTGGGGACTCATCTGAGTTACCGTCTGTTTGACAAGAGTCGCCGGAGAGGCATAAATCCGGATTGCCGGTTAAACTGCAGTTCAAAGCAATAAAACAGTGAATCATCACGCACCATACAGAAGCAGTCAAGATTTTTAACCATGTAAACTGCAATCAATAAACTCACATTAATTTTAAGTTCTTGTTATTTGTTAATGACGAAGGTACAGTTCCAGCGAGATTATTGTCTGCTAGGTTCCTGAAACATTTTCCATGTTCCTGTGTTAGTTATCAGGAAATGTGAAAGAAAGAAGTCCAAGAATGACAAGTTTATAAGGGGGTCTGACTGAGCTTACAGAAGTTTAAGTTTAGGCAAGGTACCAAGAAAATCAGGGATCAATTCGGTTATGCTGTTATTGCTTAAATCTCTGCAATCAGGAAAAAAAGGGGCAATGAAATTAAGCAATGAAATTAAGCAATGCGTATGTTCAATTTATTCTTTTATTGATATTTATTTGGGAAGCTTTGAAACTCACATGGTTTCAAGAGAAGTCATGGAGCTGAAATCAGGAAGTGCACCTGACAGACCGAAGCTGTTAAGATACCTGTAACATTTCTCAATTCATACCTCTGTTAATGCCAGTCATCATAAAAACCAGTGGCAAATAGATATACTTGTTGAGATTTTGGAAAACATAAATATGTTTTCGGGTATAATCATTGTTATTGTCAAAAACATTTCGAATCCAAAGAGATCACCGTAAGTATACATATTCATTAGAATAAAACTAAGAAACTTATATCATAGACTTACAATGCTGTTACTCGAGGCGTGGCATCAGCCGTACAATTGATCCAATCCCATGAATATGGGGCAGGAAGGCATGGATCCCCACCCCATGCTTGCAATACATCAAAATTCACTAGTAGTGAAGCCAATCCATTGACTAAAATAGAATAACACATTAGCAGCAGCAGAAAACAGAATAGGTGACGAAAAAAACAGAACAAAACCAAGCTGCAAGGGGATATTAATTACCATCATCGCTATAAGTTCCATCAGTCAACTCGTCACTGAAGCTAAAAACTTCCATTGCATTGATAAGAGGAGGCAGCGTTGAATCAGGTGCTGCCACCAAAGAAAACGTCGTGTTTGCTGAGGCAGTATGGTTACTCAACCGTAATTCGGAAGCTTCTCCATACACCGGAACAATGGGTTTTGAGAATGCAGAAATACCATCTATGTTTACCTGAATGGATCTTTTCTGAGTTGAATCCAGCTGCGTAACTTCGGAAAAGTACATGTTAGCGTAAACAGAAATTGCCTTCTGGGGAAGATCGTTGAAGGTTAAGTCTATAGAACCAGTAGTACTAGCGGCAGTAGTAAATGCATTTTGTAAAACAGCTTGTGGAGGGAAATCATCTACACTAGCACCACTGATGTAGAAGGCATCACTGCTGACAACTGTGATTCCTTGCCCAGGGGATCCCGCCGGATCCCAAATTCTGTTGTAAACATCATCCGGCTTCCTAACACATTGAAAGGAAAAGATTTAGCCTCGAATTTAACAGAATTGTAAAGCTTTGAGTTGGCAAATGAAGGAGGAAGAACATATGAACATAGTGTTGTACCTAATGGTATCTTTGGCACCAAAAGCGACCCTTGACTTCAAAAACAAAGCATAATTAACATCGAGAAGGCCGTACATATTACCATCCAAGTTCCCCACTTCAATTGCTGATATGAAGGGGAATTGCTGAGGAGAAGTCTGAGCAACGCATACACTTATGTAATCCACCTTTGTGACATAAATTGCCTCATAGGAGACAACTTGGTCGCTTGAAGTTACAACCGTCGCCCAATGGTTACCGTCAAATTGCAGATCGAAGGATGGGGGTGAGGACTTTTTGTCATAATTTCCATACAGAAAACTCGCCCTGACCATGACTTTAGACCCTTTTCCAGCAAAGATGTTGGAGTAACAATTCTTCTTCCCAGTGGTGAAGACTCTCAAAGTGCTCATGACGTTAGTCAATCCAACGATGGTGGATGGCACCGTTTGAGGTTCACCGGATTGAATGTAGCCGTCATCTCCCACCCAAGCCAATGAATTTTCATCGACGTAAACATTTTTCGACGTTGATCCACAGTCAATGTTCACTGAAATATATATTCATCAAATTAGTAGAAAGAAGAAGAAGCTGAATCTTGTAATGAAGATCCTTCAATTGTAGCTAAAAAACAAAAACATTATTAGTTAGATCAGAAGTTGAGAAGCTTACCATCGGCCAATGTGGGTATGGTAGAAAGGGCTAGAAAAACGAACAAAAGATGATGAGTAATCATGATGGTTTGAGTGGGGATGGAGAATGGAATACCAAATTACTAATGTGCAGTAAGCTTATATAGGAATTGGAATGTATATGTGACCAAAAAAAGGTCAACAGTCAATGTAATGAATTCCAAATTGGAATCTTTGATTTGCTAATTCCAATCAAATTGCCAATTTATATATATTTTTTTACTAAACTTATAATATTTAGAAGTTATATTAAATCTAATTAATTTAAAGTCGAGTTGGATTAAACCCATAAAAGAAAAATTCTCTTAACTGTTATCTTTCTATTTATAATATTTGAATTCAAAATTTTATTTAAAAAACCAAATTTTTTTTCACTCAAACTAATAAATCGTTAAATTATCAATCTATATTACCCTTCAAAAGTACATTCCTTAAAATTATTTAACTGCATCCATGGCTTTGATATTGATCATTTGTAAATTGTTTTATTATTATTATTATTATTATTTAAAACTAGCAAACTTTTAATTAGTAGTTATTCATATCAAAATTAAAAAATTATTTTACTCCTAATGTGGTTCAAAACATTTTAATTTAATGAACCCGAGCCTCTAATTTTGACCCATCTAATTATTTAGTTTTGAAATTTTTTGGGAGAAAGGGGGGCGTACGTTGACTTTGGATGAGCTAGAAGGTCAGCCAACACCAGCAAAGACGGTATGAATGTGGCCGTTGCAGAAGGATGGGTTTCTGGTGGTCGCTGATATTCTGTTCATTTTGGTTGGCAAGGCAAAAAGTCAGCAAGATGAACATGCACATTTGCACCTCTTAAGCAAGTTGTAGTAGTATATATATTTTTTCGGTCAATCTTAGAAACCAATTGATTTCAAAGATACTGCAGTTCTGCTTCAAAGTCCAAAGAAAGTGTGGTGGAACCACTGCCTTTGTCAATAAGTTGACAAGCAACCCAAATTATTAATGCCTAAATGCATTTCTTTACAAGATGAACCAGCTGGTTTTGTAAATTGCAGTTATATGTATATACATTATTATAAGGATTGATGTCCCATAGGAATGATCCAACAGCCCAAAACACAGAAGGACCTTTTCAAATTATAATTGATTTGCTATACAACTTATGCGCTCCATACATCAAAGATCTTTTCCCATTATTAGTTTATTTTTTATTTTTTTACATTAAAGAGTTAATTATTTAACAATACAACTTTGAACATTTACTCCTAAATTTAAATTTAAAAATTTTAAATTAATAGGTATTGACTTAATCAAACTCATGTCGTTCTCTTTTACAATTAGTGAGGAAAAAAAAAGCAGCACTTTCCTCTTGTAAGTAGATATCTTACAAATTTTGGGTTCTTGGGTTGGGATCTGAAAAAATGAAAAAGGAGCCCATAGGCCTATAAAGCTTGGGTACAAAAACATGTATGACCCAGGTGCTTCAAATGGGTTTGAACCCATCTACGTTGGGCCTTTAAAATGGTGGTGGCGAAAACTTAAATGCGGCCTCTCTGTCCATCTCTTAATCCCCCTTTTTTTTTTTTCTTTTTTCTTTTTTTCTAGTTTCTCTATCCATATTCTATAGTCCATCCCTTATTCCACCTTATTTTCCTTTCCATTTTTTTCACGCATTCCAGCTAAATGGCTGAAAATGACATTAGACAAACCACATAAATTTCTTTTTATATTAATTAAAAAAAAAAAAGAAAGCAGCCAAAATTCCCCTAATGTGCTAAAAGCTTTATTCCATTTATGTGCCTGCCTTTATCTTTCATAAGACAAAAAAATAAAAGAAAATTTGCTTTTTGCAATGGTTAAATATCAATTTTAATCGTTCAATTTTAAGGTTTTGTACAGTTTTCATCCATTAACTTTTTTATATTTTTTTGTCATTTAATTCTGAAAAATGTAATTTTTTTAATTTTTTTATTATTTTATTTGTATATATATTATAAGTTAAAGGATTAAAATGTATATATTTAAATATATTTAACAAATTAACTGACAAAATAATTAAAAAAGTGTATTTTTATAATTAAAAGACTTGAAAAGTACATAAAAAATAAAAAGACTAAAATTATACAAAATTTTAAAATTAAAGGACAAAATTGACATTTACCCTTTTGCAGATGGTGGATCTGAATATGTGGTGCCAACCTTCCAGCAAATCAATTATATTTTGATATTTTTATAAGAAAAAAAATCAACGAAAGTCTTGACTTTGTTGTGTTTCTCGCGTACGCAAATTCTCAACTAATTCATTTTATTTTATTTTTTTCTAAAAATAATATTTTTATCATCATACAAGTAATAATATAATAATAACTTTTACTCCATTAACATCTACTATTATTAATTTAGTTATTGCATAAGCATAAGGG